TGGGTGAAGGGCCTACTCTGCGTGTGTTTGTGAAAGGCCTACTCTGCGTGTGTGTGTGAAGGGCCTACTCTGTGTGTGTGTGTGAAGGGCCTACTTAGTGTGTGTGCAGGTGAAGGGCCTACTCTGTGTGTGTGTGTGAAGGGCCTACTCTGTGTGTGGGGGTGAAGGGCCTACTCTGTGTGTATGTGTGAAGGGCCTACTCTGTGTGTATGTGTGAAGGGCCTACTCTTTGTGTGTGTGAAGGGCCTACGCTGTGTGTGGGGGTGAAGGGCCTACTCTGTGTGTGTGTGTGTGAAGGGCCTACTGTGTGTGCGTGTGAAGGGCCTACTCTGTGTGTGTGTGAAGGGCCTACTCTATGTGTGTTAGTGAAGGGCCTACTCTTTGTGTGCACATGTGTGTGTGTTCAGGGCCTCCTCTGTTGGAGTGGGAAGGGCCGACTGTCTGTGTGACGGGTGTATTTGTGTGTGTTTTTAGAAGGCCCCTGTTCTGTATGTGAATGGCCTATTTGTGGGTCTTTGTGAAGAACCTATGCTGGGTGTGTGTGAAAGGCCTATCTGTTTGTGTGTGTGAAGTGTCTGCTCTCTGTGTGTGCGTTAAGAGCCTACTCTGTGTGTGTGTGTGTGAGACGAACCCATACTGTGTGTGTGAAGGCCCTTCAGTGTGTTTGTGTGAAGAGCCTTTCCGTGTCTGAATGTGTGAAGGGCCTATTCTGTGTGTGTGTGAAAAGTCTGTAAGTGTTTGCATGTGAAGGGCCTACTCTGTGTGTGTGTATAAAGGGTTGATCTGTGTGTGTGTGTGTGAGGAGCCTATTTTATTTTCGTGTGTGTGAAGGGCCTACTCTGTGTGTGTGAAGGGCCTACATTTTGCGTATGTGAAGGCCTAGTCTGTGTATGTGTGAAGGCCCTACTCTGTGTGTGTGTAAAGGGCCTACTCTGTGTGTGTGTGTAAAGGGCCTACTTTGTGTGTGTGTTAAGGGCCTACTCTGTGTGTGTGTTTGTGTGTGTGAAGGGTTACCTCTATGTCTATGTGTGTGGGTGTTTGAGTATGAAGGGCCAGCTCTGTGTGTGTGTCAAGGGCCTACTGTGTGTGTGTGTGTGTAGAGCTACTCTGTTTGTGTGTGTGAAGGGCCTACTCTGTGTGTGTGTGTGTTTGTGTGTGTGAGGAGGGCCAGCTCTGTGTGTGTGTCAAGGGCCTACTGTGTATGTGTGTGTAGAGCTACTCTGTTTGTGTGTGTGAAGGGCCTACTCTGTGTGTGTGTGTGTGTGTGTAGAGCTACTCTGTGTGTGTGTGTGTAGAGCCTACTCTGTGTGTGTGTGTGTGTGAGGAGGGCCAGCTCTGTGTGTGTGTGTGTGTGTGTGTG